TATTAGAAAGATTAATTCACGTGGTGGCCTCTACTAGTTCATTGCTCCAATACTTCATGGAGCGACTGTTCAGGCTTAGCAGAAACCTAGGGTTCCGCGGAACAGTGTGAAAAGTCATATCGTGTAAATTAAAAAGGGGAGACAACCAGCTAGGAACGAAGTTTGTGGATTATTTGTGCGGGAATGTATTGGAAAAAAAAAATCACGTTCCGGAAATGTGTTCTCCGAAGCGCGTGCTTTACTTCTGCAACTTATGTAGACCACACAACTTTCGTTTAGCGACTTCCTTATCGTCCTCACGTGCTTTGAGTTGGCGATTAACTTTTTGTCTTACTACGCCACGGATCTAGTGTTGTCTTTCTGTTTTTTTGTTTGCTCACTTCCAGACTTATCACAACGTCTGCTCTGCTGTCGACTTATCTCCCCCTGGTCAAATCTCCAGCTGCGAGTGTATGCTGTTTTTTTTTTATAACTCCCCCTCCCCCAGTTGCCCAGTATACTACAACATAACCCAACCCCAGTGATCTTTGCTGATATACATTGGTCTGACTTTTTACCACAGCAGAGACTCAAGCGCGCATTTTTTTTTTGGGTTGCGCATGATAAAAATAAAACTTAGTTTCTCTAGCAGTAAACTTTGTTATAGATATTTATAAAATTAGCACGTGGAAGCTACTTATCAAATGCCAACACGCGAAGTAATGTTGGGTTGTTTAACCCAGTTCTTGGGTATTATGAACAAGGGTATCATTTGTTTTCCAAAACTATAACCTGGCAATATGTTTGCGCTGATTTTATCACACAGCTTGATTACTTTAGCGTAGCCTTTGGCCTGTAGCTGAATGGTGTTGTATATAAAGGTTGCTGATGGTATGTTGGAAGGTGTGAAGCCTGGACAAATGTAAAAGCTTCATATGGTGTAGTTTTGTATATTGAGTAACATATGTTGTATGTGGTGTTGTATGTTGTGTTGTATGTGGTGTTGTATGTGGTGTTGTATGTAGTGCATCTGGTGTTGTATGTGGTATATCTGGTGTAGTATTTGGTGTTGAATCAGGTGTTGTATCCGATGCATCTTGTTTTGTATGTAGTACTATATCTGCTGGTGTATATTCACTGTATATGATAAAACAATAGAGTGTCCATTAATATAAAAAAAAGCTAATGCTTATTTTTTTTCATCAACTGTGTAATTCTGTAGCTGAAGTATAGAAGACCCCCTTGAAGTGCAGGGCGTGGGGTGAGCGCCCCATTTAATATTTGAAACGACTCATCTATATATGAATATTGAACGCTTCATAAATATTGTAAAAAGAAGATGTCAATAAAGATGTTAATGTCAGTGCTAATCATTGACGCAGTTAAGACGTCTCCATTTGTATTCCATTATCGTTTTAGGCAATTCTCAAATTTCATTTGGCAAGACTTTGATTGAATCATACACAACGCCAGCAAGACTTTTATATCTGCATTTAAACCTTTTTTTTTTACTACCCGTGGTAATATTGTGTTTTAAATTTCTCATAAAAGCCATATTTAAGGTACCTCTATCTATGTATCTATGTGTCTATCTATCTATCTATCTATCTATCTATCTATCTATCTATCTATCTATCTATTCTTTTTGTTTGTCTGTCTGTTTATCAAGGTTGCAAGGAAAAGGATAAAAGAAACTTGATGTATACCATTGGCTTCTCAAAGATTCGAGATTCTACACAGAATAGTAGGTATGAAAAGGGATTAAATTTATTTTTCGATACGAGAATTGCAGGTTTGAAAACCTATTTTCTAGTACAGACCATTGTATTAAAAGGTCAACAAAAAAAATTCATCATAGAGTTATAATAGCAGATTTATGGTAAGTCTCATTTTTGGTGTATCTGTTATTGAAACTGTTTGTTCGTGTTTCAATTAATCTTTTCATTATTTATACTTGAAAATTTATATTGTTTCATTTTGAAAAGAATTCTGTTATTTCTCTATTCTAAAGTTTATTGGACTTAGGTCATCAGATGTAATGTCTTTAAATAATAGGACGTACTGACCACCCAAGTCAATTGAAACATGTTAATATAAAGCAGTGCCCAGTGCGGCAGCTCGTGATGATGCCCCCCCCCCCCCCCCAAAAAAAAAAGGTAACGAAATAAAACAGAGAAAAGTCTTTTCCCGAACTAATGTGTTCAAGTATTGCTTATGTATTCAGTGTTCAAGTATTGCTTGTGTATTCAGTGTTCAAGTATTGCTTGTCAGTCAGTGTTCAAGTATTGATTGTGTATTCAGTGTTCAAGTATTGCTACTTTGCCAAGAAAAAATCAGTTTAACAAAAAGATATCTAAAATAAATCTTTCGTGCTTTTTTACTCGCAAAACTATCAAATAATTTTATCGAAATTTATTTTTCACATCAATCGCCAAATTACTGAGTCGCCAATTTTTAATCGTTGATCGCAATTAATTCGATCTGATGATTCAATAGTTGGGATGGCGACGAAAATTCATGTTTTCTTACCACATCATGACGTTGCTCATATCGGGTGATTTCTTGGATTATTCCGTCCAAGGAAGAATAAATTTCCATCCGTAGCTTTCTTGTGTGTTACTACAGAATCTTCCCCTTTTTCGCCTAGCATTCTTTTTCTTAGGGCCAATACGTCTTTGAGGTCTGCTAATCTCCAAATCTGTGCACATGCTTTTGAATAAAGATAACACTGGCTTCAGCGATGTCGTCTCGACTATACGTTGAGAATATTTTTAATGTTTTCCGTTTAAGTGCGCAGTCTAGAATTGACAATCCAAGTTTTTGAAGGTAGACTTACCTGTCCATTATTTTAGTTAATACAGCGACCAAAACCCCAAGGTGAGAAAATAAATGTAGGCTGCATAGTAACTAACAAACTGCCTTTCAGATCTAGTTTTAGATTTTTTTCATCTGTGTTAGTCAATGTCTCTAGAGTTTCTATGATTTTTGAAAATTAAACTATAACCACCTTGCTGGCTCTGGCGCTCCAGTGGGTTTGAACCAAACGCTTAAGGTTATAGTTCCAGTTATTTTGGTGAGTACGTCCTAACAGTGTTCTAAAGTTGATAAAAAGGTGTGTAAACTGTCTAGTGTACGTAAAAATTATAATAAATTGATTTCAGATTCAGCCCGAATTCCTGCCAAACTCGGGGAATGGTTCAAGCAGACAACGAATAAAGATGATGTTAATGAAAGAATTAGTACACAGTCATTAAACAAGACAACGTAGCCTTAACATTTGGGAAATTATCTAGAAATATCTGGCTCGTAATCACCCAATGTTCGTTCATTACACTTGTGGGGAAATGTACATATTCGGTCTGAAAGAGGCTTAATTCGGACTACATGTTCATTTAGGAGTGGATCTTAGTAATTTTATAAGCTCCCAGAAATGACCTAAATTTTGTCTTTGCAATTCTTCTTCAACTTGTTCGCGATGCCCATTGAGTGTCAGATTCTGTTTTGAGAGTAAATAAATGATATCCATTTTTTTTTTCAGGAAGCACTATCAGATTTTTACTTTTTGGACCGTTTGATCCCTGCCGTCAACCATTTCAGCCAGAGATGACAATCTCTCCGTATGAGCTAGCACTATGCGCGCTAAAGTGGAACGAGAGTCTTCAGCAACGACCATAGTGTTGTTTACATTGCAATATTACAATGAACTAGTTGGTGGTGACACAAAAAAAAATGTACAAAAAGATAATCTGCATAAAAAATTTTGATATCACTGCCATTTCTCAATGGCCATTAAAATTTAAAAGAAACTAACAAAATCATAGTGAAATGAGTATTTTATAGATCTAGAGTCTAGAGGTTTAATCTAGATGAAAGCAGCGTACTGAGCAATAAAGTAACAACATGTACCATGTTCCTTAGAAAGAAATGGGCATGCAAAAGTGTGTCCCCTTAAGATATTGAAACAAATCTAGTAGATTTGATACAACCAGGTCTACAGCTGACATTGAATTTAAGGCAGACCATGGGAGATGAACAATGTAGTAAATAATTACATTTGTAGTTCACATTTCAACTACAGCAGTTTGTCTTTCTTTTTCATATCTGTAACCTACAATGTGTTGTTTTTACTGAGAAAGTTTATCGCTAGTTTGATGCCCCTCACCACTTGATGCCCCGTGCGGCACGCACCACCCGCACATTGTTAGCTACGCCACTGTCACTATGCAAACATTGAAATATGCATGTCTTTAAAAGATCAATTAATTTCCCCCATAATCCTCAAACTTCCTACCCACTGTGTCACGCGAATACAGCTGAATTTTGATTTATTTTTTGTTTCTTCAAAGGGTGGTAACATAAGAATTTCAATCCTATATAGGTCTGTGATTTCAATACTAAGTACAAAGTGGCGTTTCTTCCATCTATTAAACCAAAAAGGCCATTCAAACAAAAGGGAAGGAGGAATAACTCTCGCTGTTCCATTTTAAAAACATCATGAACTGAAGGAAGTGGCTAAGGTATGTTACATGTATTCCAAAACAGACTCGACTAGATTGAACTGCCCGGCGCTTGCATGAAGTTTACAGTCTTGCAGAGTGGAACAGTATCTTCCACTTCAATGATTAGATTTTGATTTTTATCCGAGGCGGCTGTTAGTCTCGTGGTTTGTATTGAAAATCACACCTGAATGATAGAATGACTTTCCCGTGTTTTAAGTTTTGATGTTATAATTACTTGATTCAGTTATAATGATGACATTTTTAGTTTTAACATTACAAAGTTTAAAAAATCAATAAATCTATACATCAATCTTACCAATATACACATTTACACTTATACAAACAATATCATTGACAACCTTGTCACGTGGTATGCTGCGCTCTGGACTGTCCTTTGATGTTCTCGACAGTTCGAGCCCTGCACGCCGAGTGGTTGGGACTAAGGTGTAAGAATCTCCAAATCTGAAGGCACATCCCAAACTCGTGAAACAAAACAAAACAAAAAGCTAATGATAAGAACACATTTTTTGTTCACTTTTTAATTTTTTGACATAAATCTTAAATACTATTTGACTCTTCAACTAATACTGAAGAAAAAAAAGGGTGGGGGACGATAATAGAGGATACAAGTTGAAATAGTATTTTGATCACAAAAATACATAATACATGTATGATGTGGTTATGAATGATAAGCTGATAGCCTACATGAAAGAAATTGATTATGAATTTAGCTAAGAATAAAGAAAAACATAATTTGGTTGATGCCAGTATAAAATTTTAGTCTTATTTTCAAAAAAGTTGCTTGGATGTCATTTTAAAGGTACGATTCGTGCGGTATGTTTTTTTCGGAAGGTCCCCAGCTTTCGTGCATGAGACTTGTCTAGGACATAATAAACTTCGTTTGTGGTGTAAAGTCTTAAAAGCTCACGTCAGAATTTCAGACAGGAAACTGTTGATGTTTACATTTGTTTTTAGGCTTTTAAAATGGTGTCAGAAGTGCATTCGCTAGCAAACTGGTTTCCAGTTCAAATTGTATTATAGCCCATTTAATAAGAACAAATCAATCGTGAGAATGCGATACCATGAAACCATTAGAAAGAAAAGCACAGCGCAAGGTAGCAAGTACAGCGCAAGGTAGCAAGTACAGAAAAGTGTGTGACCTTTTTTTATGTCAGAGAACTTATGTGTTAAGAGAATAGCGGATCAACCCATTGGCTTGCATGCAATATACAGTGGCGATGATTTGATGATCCAGTTGACTTAATCCTGTGCTCTCCCAAGGGAGCATAGGATCAGTGACGCGGATTACCTGGCTAGGAGGAAGAGAACATTCACTTCATTGCATTGCTTAGTTTTTGTTTTTCTTTTTCATTTCACTACTTTAAACAAGCAAAATATTTAAACATCCTTTTTTAAAATAAACATAGCTTATCTAAAGGGGAAGGACTCCGCCCTTATAACTATATCAATACAGTACAAGTTCTTTCCCTTATTTGATATCAAACAAAATTAATTATTGATAATTAATTGACTTATTGGATATTGTTTAAACTGATTTATGTCTTATCTATGCCAATGAATAAATGTGTGAATTTTCAACTTGATCCGAGAATGGGTGTGGGAGAAATAACGTGTAGACACTTTTTACCAGACAGACAGATAGACAGACAAACAGACAGACAGAGTGAGTTGGTATAAGCTTTGAAAAAGATCCATTTCACATTTTTGAAACATTTTTATCCGTATAATGAAGTACTTCGAATACTTATTGAAATGTTGTACAAGTATCAGGAAAGTTGCAATACAAATCAACAATGTTACTTTTCAAGCGCTCAATCCTTTACAAATACGTTTCAACTCAAATTTTTAAAGCAGATGTTTTGGACTTTTCATATAAAATAAACATTTGAGTTAGTAATCTGTTTTAAATAGAAAAAGACAATTTCAACAAACCATAAAATGTGGGTTGTTTGTCTCAACATTTAAACTTTTTTTTTTTAGCGCGAAAATGTATCAAGGCAAATGTCTTGTACACAAATGTCAAGATATGTTAGGATAACGTTGCTATGATAATGACATGACTGTATAGTATGACATACACACTAATGATTGTTTTGCTTATATTTGGTTTGTCTAGAGACAACCAAAACCATTGCTAGCTAGATATCTTCATTTGAAATATATATATGTAACAATACATATTTGCTGGGGTAGCTGGTAAAGGGTTTTATATATACTTTTGTAATAATCATAAACTAAATGATAACAAGTTGATAACATGACAATACTAATCACATTTGTCAAATTCTGTACACTTAAGTTAAGCATTGAAACAGAAACTCCTTTTTGTTTTTGGAAAGTCTTAGCGTTTTCCAGCCTACTAGTAATTGACTCTCTTAAACAGAAAAATAAATAAGTCTGACATAATTCTAGCAATAAACAAAATATCATAAAATTATGTAGATCTACAAAAACCAATTGCTAATACTACATAAAAGACTTCTAAAATGTTGGTAGATATTTAAAAAAAAAAAAAAAAAAAAAAAAAAAAATATTAATATTAACTCTTTCTATCCTAACTGACGATACCAACGTTGATTTGACCTCATTAAACTAAATTCGTTTTGGATTTATAAACTTTAATTTGTGTTATGTAAAAAGAGCTTGCATTCTCCTATAATTCGATACCAAATATGACATTTTTCTGATACTAAAAAGTTATTGAAGTTTAATCAGAACAGAATAGTGAAACTACAAATGAGCAAAATGAATAATACTATCGGAACGGGGAAAATAATGAAGGAGAGAAAGAGTTAAACATTTGGTATCCATAGTTCAGACATTGTAGCCAATGAGAAACTATACAAGAAATGAAATCTGACATTTTAGCATTTCATTTTTAATGTTGAGATCTCAGGTATACTGCTACGTAAAAATAAGAAACCAATATACAAAAATTAAATCAAATTAAAAAAAAAAATAAAAAAAATAAAAGACATATTTAGGCATAGGTCTATTTTATTAGGAAATTTCACTTGTGCCCATAGCACATCCAAAAGTAGACTACAGTCAGTGGTCTTCATCCGGATGTGTTATGGTACATCCGAATGTGTTATGTTACATCCGGATGTGTTATGTTACATCCGGATGTGTTATGTTACATTCCGATGTGTTATGTTATATCCGATGTGTTATGGTGAAAAGAAAGCTCATAACATTTACCATACACTTTTATTGTTATGGTTTGAACTCTAAGATGAAACTTTTCTAATAAAACTGAGTCTGATCAATGTCTAAATATAACTTTATAACAAACATGAGTAAATAAAACAAGAGTGTATTTGTTCAGTGTGACTCCATATGCAAGAACTGCCCTCATGCTTAAACCATGACCTTTGACATACAAAAAAAAAAGTTTACAAAAAATTTACTTTTTTAAAATGACAATGAGCTACTGACAGTAGAGACAATGACATACATGAAGACAGGACAACAACTTAAACACAATTCTCTGTCCAGGAGACATATGAAACTTTACAGAACGATAATCATAATCTATATTTGTTTGTCCTATAAAAATAAAAGAGTTTGCTTTTCAAAAGAGTTCACTTGTAAGAACAGAAAATGTGAGATCTAACTAAACACACTTTACAAATATGGTTGTCAAAATTAATGTCTTAGTCTATTAATTAGATAAATAATTTCGTATTATTCGTTTTAGAACAAATTCAAACGAAGGTGTATAAATGAATTTTCTTTAAAAAAATGCAATGTTACCAAATAGGACGTAATCATCTTCTTTTTTGAAGTAACGTCTGTATTATATAAGATAAGGTAAGATATCCAATATAAACGGACATAAAAATCAACGATTACTCTATGGTGTTCACAATTCAGTTAAACAGAATAATCCGCTCTTTGTTTAAATTAATTTTAAAAATTCGGTTTAAGGAATACAATACAGTAGAGAGAAAAAAAAAAGAGAAAGCGACATAGACAAATGTGTGGCGATATAATGGACTCTCAGATAACGTAAGACAATATAAAGAGAAAGAAATATGAGAGATTTAGAACAAAGAAGATGATAGATTGAAATAGTCTTGTTACCAACTAATAATGACTAAGCATACTTTGTGCTGAGAGCTGAAAAAAGTAGATTCTGCAGTGCAAAAAGGTGCATAAAAAATAGCATAGCTTTTAGAAGATATAGCTGGTCAATGCTATCGTATTCTGTTCCCCAGATGCTCCAGAGGCTCCATCTGTGAACATTTCATGTATGTGATTGATAACATAGTCTTATAATTAGTGGTGAAGAGGATAGAGGCAACAGTGTGTATTAAAGTTAACACAAATGAAACAGGGCAGCGCTTTGCAAGAGGTTAACCGTGCCGAGTAACGACGCTTTAAGAAAGTACTGTGATCTGAACAGTCCACGTACTAATCATTGGGGCACCACACATGATCTGTCGATCGTCTTTCTGAATTCTTCTCAGTCTTTTACGTTGAGTAGAAGCTCATTCAATGACAGGCACGTCCATTCTTTTTTTTTTTTTAATCGCGTTTTCTGTCTGCATCTTCTTTTTCCTGGTACTGTTTCCTGTAGGAAAATTTTTGGGAGCCCTATGTATGTGATATGGCCATAAAGTTTTAGTATCGACATCTCATAGCAGTGGACATTTCAGAGCAGTGGACATCTCAGATCAGTCGACATTTCAGATCAGTGGACATCTCAGAGCAGTGGACATTTCAGAACAGTGGACATCTCAGATCAGTGGACACCTCAGAGCAGTGGACATTTCAGAGCAGTGGACATCTCATATCAAAGGACATTCCAGATCAGTGGACATCTAGGGCCAGTGAAGAGTAAATAGGCTTGCAATGACATATCTCTATGGAGACAGCTGGTCGCCCATTGCGTCAAATGGAAAGGAAGGATAAGAATATAAGTAAATCAAAGTCTCATCTCGCTTATCTGTCCATTTACTTTCGTCGTAGGGGCGCTGTGACAGTTTGTATAACCAAATCCCTCCACTTTTCCCATTCAGCAGCTGTTCTGAGACGAGTATCAAGAAGTAGACCGGTCCAGCCAGCTTTTCTTTGGACGACCCTCTCTGCATGCACTGTCCACTGTACCGTGAATGACTTTTGACAGTGAGTCATGTCTTACAAGGGGACCTAACCTGATCACCTTACGTCTCTTCACAGTATTGAGAAGTTCTTCCTTTTTTACCAGTGTTGACTTGTCAAAGTATAAACTCATTAGTCTTTTCCTGGTATCAGATACTATCGAAGGCTCTAATTTGCCTAAATGTAATGTAAAAAGATTCCTTTATCAGTAAAAAAAAACATTTTTAAAATGGTTTTGAGTACTTTATGCCAATAACGCTCATAAATACTATTATGGATTTTCTAAATGCGTTTAAAACTTGCGAGATATCACCTACAAAAACAATAAACAACAAAACCACAACACCGACTCATAAAATAAAACACCACCGTAAGAACAATAAACACGCTAAGAAACAATAAGATCTAGGGACGAGATTGTCGTCAACACAAACGCAACGCTAAGAAAAACATCAACACTATAAAGGTCACGTGATGGGGGCGGAGCTTGCACATCGAGCCACACCCAATCAGTTTTTTGGCTGCACGCATCCGTGGTGGAGAAAATCGGTCACCATCTCAAGGGTGACGTCCGGCACATCGTGGGGCGTCTGGTGACCACCGCCGTGGACGACGACCCTGCAGAACTTGCCGGTCCGAGAGTAGAATCCTTTGAGTCGCTTGTCCTGCTTCCAATAGTGTCTGGGAATAGCAGAACATACAAAAATATTTCAAATTTCTAGACTAAACAAACTTCAACAAAATCTTGATGAAATAGAGAAGTGTTTACCAAACTTTCTGTAAAGTGAATTCCCCCCCCCCCCCCCCCCCCCCCCCCACTTTAATTTATTAACAGAACATTATGACTGGGTATTTAAAAAAAATCAGTTAATGAGGTACAACGCGTACCCCCTCCAAAGTCTTCTCGTACCCCTGGGGGTACGCGTACCCCACTTTGGGAAGCACTGAAATAGAGCACTAATAGAGATATTGACCAATGCCAGTGTCAACTCAGGGGGTTAGTATGGAGCCAGTAATCTTATGGAGTGTGCTAAGTATTCTGTAATGTTGAGGAGTAATTCTTTGAATTGCAAGTTTTTGTTGCTGGTTAGTAGCGTACCGTGGGTGTCAGGAGCCCGGGGCTGAAAGGGCTGTCGGCGCCCCACTCTCACCTAACAATTTAGTCTATTTTATATACATATCGATTCAGTCATTCTAGATACATATATCTTCAGTCATTATGAATGCAGATAGATTCCGTCACTATAAATACCGTTAGATTTAATCATTATAAATACCGATACATTTAATCGTTATAGATGCAGATAGATTCAGTTATTAGAGATATAGAATGATTCAGTCATTATAGATAAAGCTGAAACAAATTGCTAAAACTATTTCCTTCTTCTGAGAAGGTATTCGATCTGTTTGTTTAGTCCATCAGCTCGTCTAGTTGAATTTAGACATATAAAATGTATACAAACCCATATCAATATCTAAATTAGTCTTTTTCTTTGAACGTATTTGTTACATACTATCCTCGTTTTCGATTACTTAACAGATTGGTTGAGAATATTCGTGTGACGTCACAAAGAAACAAATCTTTGTTCTGGCTTTGTGACAGTTATATTGAACGAGGACAAGGAACCGCTGTGAATTATTAGTACGACTGAAAGATAATCAAATAAATAAACAAATTGATCTGTATACTGACATTAGTTAGGGAAGTTTGTCGTTTTTGGTGGCCGCATAACTCAACTAGAGAAACAATTAGATTGAAATCACCTAAGACAGGCGCTCTCAACCTGTGGATCGCCACACCTTTGGGGGTTGTGTAATTTAAGCACAAATTTATTTCACACTTCATAAAATTACATAAAGCTTGCTATGTAAATAAACCATGGATGTCAGATAAATACATTTTAGTTTAATTATGATTTTATAACATTAGCACAATCACAATTAGGGATTACCTAGGCCCATGAACGAATTAAAGTTTACTGTTGGAGGTCACAGCCAAGTGGTGAATCGTGTTACGGGAAGGTCGAGCTATAAAGCTTGATAACAGCTGATCTAAGACTTAAATGGCACGTTCTGTAAGGGAGCTTATAATACCACAATTGTCATTCTATAAATTAATTGTTTAACATACCTCATTGATCTATTGTAGTGCTCTTGTCCATTCCAAAGGGTGGACATCACGGCGGCCTCGATCATGACCGAACTGACCACAACATCGTAATCTCCATTGTATATAAGTACTTTGATATTGTTCATTAACTGGGCAAGCTCTTCCTTCGTGCTGACCATCACGTCAGGCCCGTAGCACTGGGAGAGATTATCGTTGGACACAATGTACTTTTGATTCCCCACGTGCACTGCCTTGCGCGTGTCCAGCGTCGTCATGACCTCTCCTACAAGGCTGTAGTTCGCCT